CTCTTATGAGGCTGATCTTACACATGTGTTTCTTCCTTTTGAAGTCTGTGATCAAGAGTTCATATGCACCAGACAGCTTTCTTAAACCAAATAGCCAACTGCTTGACAATATGAGCCAGACTACTTAGAGCAAAGGGTTTGTAAAAAACAACCTGCTTACACCAGTCTTTTTAATGTGTGGTCTGCAGCCCCTTGCAGAGTCAGAAACCTATTCCTCAGGGTTTATGAAAGGTAACTAAGAAAAGCAAATCTGTTGTCAGGAGGCTTTAATCCATTGCCCTTTTTAGGTCTGCAAATTGAAAGAGGGTGAAAACTACTATTCCGTACACGTTAAACTTACCTGAGGTCAGAGCAGCCCATGCTGGACTGTTACTCTTCATTTCTTCTCCAAACACCTTTCGAAGTTGCTGCTTTTCAGTCTGAGATCTCTAAGCAGCTCCCCTCCCCTCCTCTTTTGAAAAGAGAGCTTTCTGTTTAAACTGGTCCAGTCCATTTGATTTTCTGCTTCAGAAATCATCTTGGTTGTGCTCATCAAAAACCCACTGCTGTTAAGTGGCAGCTGCTAGGAAATAAACCCTTCACAGTCAGCAATCTGGGTATTTCTCCTGACAAGTTGTACCTGATTGCTGGTAGATGATTTATGTTGAGCCATTCTTTTCCCTCCTGCTTGTTTTTACTTGCCATACCTTTTGTAATCTCTTAGAAATTAATAAATACAGTATTAATGGAGTAATACAAATTCTGTCATACACCTTGTCCATGCAAAAGTGGGTTTTTTTACTTTGTTAAGTTGTTCTTAAATTTCAAAGAATACGTGATATTTATTGGTAACTGCATGTTACTGATATTCAGGATGTTAGAACAGATTTGGAATAAAGATAGAACATCCTGTATCTAAATTATGATATCCTATAGTTTTTCTAAGGCATTATTGGTATCAAGCATGTGGAAAGTATTTATTTTCTGCAAGGGTAATTAAGGAACCTATTCAGGTTTTTTTTTTACCAGTGATTGCAGTTGTGTAAGCAAGAAAGAATAAAGCTTTATTTGATGTTTCTAGAGAAATTAGGAGCTACAGTTTGGGGAAACTATTTTAACTTTTTGGAATGAACCTATGGGATTTTAATGCATAACGTAACAAACAGTCTGAAAAACTCAGTGTTTGGAATAGAATTGTATTTTCTGTAAAAATCTGTGGGGCCTGTTTACGAGGCCCGAGTTACTACTTATTCAAAACATTTAGAAGAAATAAAATACTCTTTCAGAGGAATACTGTATGAAACTTCTAGGCATTTATTTTATGGTAAGGCATAACATTTTATGTGAAGTTAGTGGTACCAAATGACACCCCGGTTTAGTCCGTCCATATCATGCTGTGCCGGATTTTAAGTGTCTCAGCTGTCAAAGTGCACATATAACAAAAGTCAGGTTTTTTTCTTACACAAGCAGATATTTTGTTTCCTCCTTGTCCTTGCTCCCATAATTATGTTCTCTGGAAGGAGTATCTTGTCATGCAAAGATACTAAAAAAAGCCATCTCCTAAATACCACACACAAACTATTAATTGCTTCATTTAAATATGTGGCTTACAATTATGATAACTAAACCCCACACATTTTATTAAGGTGAAGTCTGCTGCAAACAATGAGTGAAATTTAATTGCAGTCTCACGGTACTGAAATAGATTTGCTTTTGCCATTGTTGAAATTGTGTGCTCAGTAGACTGGTTAAAGCCAACAAATAAATAACGATATCTAGTTTGTGCTCTTTCTGAGGCTGAAAACATAAATTATAGACAAATGCACTTATGTGCTTTTAAACTCTTATTATTCTGGCTTTGAGGGTAGGTAGGCCACGTATACTCCACAAGGTTTGTAGGAACTCTCGAGTCAACAAACAGTTCACACCTGGCAATAAGGGGAAGCTGTATCGGGACCGTGGGTTCCTCCCAAAGATGCGTAGTCTAGTTTTGGCCTCTCAAGTGTACATACAGCTGATGGAGAAAATGTTCTTCCTTAAATAATATAAACACTTACTGTGCTTATCTGAAAAAGGACATACCGTTCACTCTCACTAGTACTGCCACTATAAATGTTAAATGTATCCAAAATATGGTTTTTGTAAAACAGTTTAAAATTATAAAATGTCATTTGCAAATGAGACACTAACAGTAGTGGGATTTGCTTCCCAGTAAAGATTGTGTCTCGTAAACTATGCAGAAATATTCAGGAAGAACACGCTTTGTGCATCCAAGTTCAAATTTATCATCAAACAGAGTGTTTGATTAAAGTTCTGCTTGGCAAAGGCTGACTTTCCTTTTTGTAAATTCCTTCTTCTTATGGCAGCTATAGTGCTGTATCTCTGAAGTTTTACTTCATCCCCAAGAAAGATAAACTTGGGCTTTTATGTGGTGTTTCACTGATTTGATTACTAGTAACATAAAAAATGACTTACAAAATATGTGTGTAAAAAGCTTACCATAAACTAAGATACCATGACATCCTCCATACCATTGTTTTAAACGTTTATTTTCCAAGTCCCATCGTGGATTATTAACAGACAGGGCCATGACTATCTTTTCTCTTGCACGTATGTATCTGCACAAGAAGGAAATGTTTGCATTTCATAAAAGCAGCCTGAAGCGAGATCAAAATGAACGTGCAGTCATAGCATACACAAAAGATTTTATGTTTTAAAGACGAGATTATTATGTCTTTGAAATTAAAATAGCTGCCTACATTCAGCTGAGTGATGAGATAAGGAAAGCCTGGAAATTAGAATACTAGGCCTTTGTTAGTTCAAAAATAAATAACTTTACACAAACCTGTTAGCTCCTTAGAATGTCTTCCTCTAAGTTTTCCTCCCCTGAATTTGTAACAGAGAAGTATCGGGAAACCATGAAGAGGTCCAATGCCGATTTCCTTTTTATTCTTCGTGTGCAATGAAAATGGGCCATGGTAAACATTGTTACAGTCGTTCTTTGAAGACTAGGTCCAGCTCACCCTATTTGATGTTTTGATTCTGGATGATAACGTTTAGGCACAGGCTTAGCTGCTTTTTTTTTTTGTTTCTTTTTTTTCCCCCTTCACTGTGATTACTCATGTGCATAATGTTGAATATTACATGGAGATTCTGGCAATTTCCCTAACTATGGTGTAAATGTTTCTGTTTCTCTCTATATCAAAGACTACCAAGAACAGGGTAGTTAGGCTTCTGTAGCACCAACGTGAACAGCTTCTGATGTCAACCTACTAACTTAGAATAAACCTAACTTTCTTACTCTAGACAGCACTGTAGAGCAAACACATTAAACCAGCTCTAGTCACTTGAATTTTTCACATGAAGGCGAGATGATTTTGACAGTTAATGTGTTGAGTATTTTCCAATGTCTGTACTCGTGCATCGGCACTCTAGTGTTGTCAGAGTCAAACTGTCAGTTCCTTGCAAGCTAATGCAATGCCATAAAGCGTACTGGGAATTAGGTGAGATTGTTTGCATCTGACATACATTAACTTAACTCAGATTCTGCTTTCAACCAGGCAAAACTCAAAAATTTTAATGTATTTCAGAGTGTTCAAAATAAAAGAGCAGCGTATGAAATCTCCACCACCTCTAGAATAAATAAGTTCATCATTGCGAACCTAAACAACTGAGATTCTCACAGTTCCCCACGTGTGGCTGCTGTCCAAGATTTTTTCTGAGGCAGTTCCAGCTGCCATTTTTAGGAAGCCAAAAATGTTCTTTTGGTACAGGATGGCTTTAGTAAAATAAGCAATACCTCAGGCCCCAAATGCATGCTTGAATTTATAGACTACGTGCATACAGTGGGACGGAGACATACTTTTATCAGAATTAGCTTTTTACACAGTGTGAAGTGTATCCAAACTTAACTAAATTACAAAATGGTCCATTTTTTATTTTATGTAAAAAGTCATTATGTCAGAAATATGTGACTTTTAAGTGGAGTGTGTTTGTGAGCATATCATCTGTACTGGATGCACACCTTGCTCTTTAGCAAAAAGCAGTAAGGAGCAAACACGTTTCCTTTCTGGCTGCTAAAGCCCAAGACTCATTCAGGAGCAAGTTTAGTGGGGTTTTGCCCAAATGAGGATGGATGCATCAGTCTCATAGTTTTTATAGCGTAGTAGAAAAACAGTTATATTCGCCTGTTCGCAGAGCTGAGGTGAGGAGCGCGAGTGGAGTTTCTCTTCTGACTGTTATAAAGGTAAACAGTCTTTTAAAATGCGAGGCAGTAAAAACTGCATCCTGCAATAGCTCTGCAGAGCCCTAAAATGTCTAAGTTGGCCCATCACAACTTCCAGTTCAGTGCAGTAGGCAAATCTGTTTTATGGTTTTTAAATAACCATAATCTTCCTTCTTTTAATCTTCCTTTTCTTGTTGTATTACAGACTATGGACAAAATGGATGCAAAGCCATTTAATGAAATGTCATATACTCAGCATGTCTGGTATTTGATTTACAGCACAAGGCCATAGAAGCTCTAATGAATTAGATTTCTTGCTCATCAAAAGATTTTTAGCTGATTGAAAATGAATGGCTGTACGAGCATTTGTTATGCTGTAAATATTCAAAAAATATGCTGGTGCCCTCCAGGTGATTTGTAGTAATTTTGTACCAAACACCTCTTGTTTCTGTTTTTTAGGGTGTGGTTTTAATCTGATAATTTCTCTTCCCAAAAGCAGGAACAAGAGACAAGCTATACTATTCTGAGAGCCAAAGGCACCAATGTTACCATCAGTGGCCTCAAACCTGATACCACCTACGTCTTCCAAATTCGAGCCCGAACTGCAGCTGGATACGGGACAAACAGCCGCAAGTTTGAATTTGAAACCAGTCCAGATTGTATGTATTTGCTCAAATGGTTTAAACTGACATCCGGATTGATTATTTGAATTGCTGTTTTCACTCCCTTTCTAGTTTAGTAAATGCGACTCATAACTATTTATGATGTGTCTTTCTGGGTAGCGTTACTATATAACTTTATGTTTCATCATTAAACTTGAAACATGCTATAAAGAGTATACCATGAATATTGCAGGTGGTATGTTCTTCCATTCCTGACCCAACCTCTGCCTTGTGCCAGAATCGATACCTGCTGAGAGAGGAAGTTTGGTAGAAAACTGGATTCACAGCCTCGTGCTGTTCCAAATTTTTGGCCTGAACCCTATGGACTATAAACCGCTGCCCCAAGAGAATTAATATTATATTGGTCCATTGCTCCTGTGGGTCAATGTATAATTCTCCACATTGCTGCGAAGCGTAGCTGATGTCTCCTGCATAGCCTCGAGATGAAACCAATGCGCACAGGCCGGGAAGGATGGTCGTTCAGTTCAGTAGCTGGTCAGGGAGTTGGGCAGTTCACCTCCCTTCTCCTCTCTGTCACTATGTTTCTGGGTGGCCTTGGGGAAGTTATTTACTGGTCCAGCACCCCTTTCTCTTTTCTCTAAGGCCTAGATAATATTATTTAACTGATGACCTTATCGGTATTCCCTACAAGTCCTGTTGTTATATCAGAAAGACTCTTAATAGAGCTCATCATTTTAAATGTTACTTTCTCATCACTTAGTACGATATAGGAAATCAGACCTTTTATTTGCTAGAAGCTGGAAGTGGCTTAATGCATCAAAAAGTCAGCTTTTGTTTAGGTACCCAGTTACCAATGTAGACTAATGCTGCATAATCAAAGACTGCTTGCTTTTTAGAAGGTAGGACTTTCACAGAAGACTCATATCTGCTGTTCAGAGTTATAACACAACTAAGGACTATAATTCTGATACAGTCTCATAAGGCTTATTCATGTACTCATGATAAGGCTTGAGAATCCATGGTGTAAGAAGTGCTCTGCTAAAAGCAACGTTTTAACCAAGAGGAGTAGCATAAGCCAAATGGTCTTGCACTTGGCATCCATGTATTTTTGAGATATGTTATGTATTTCATCCCCGCTTCTTCCTCCCCCACCTCAGCTCTTATTGTGAAAACCAAGCACAAGCTTCTTTTTTAAAAAAAATAGTTACAAATTGCTGTTATGGTGACATGTAGCTTTGGTATACCAGATGAAACTGGAACTCAAGATAGGACAGACAAGTACAGCAAGGAGAAAAAAATCCATTGCAGTGATAACAAATTTGATAATTTAGAAATTAATGAGTTTTCTCTGCAAAATAATATTAAAAATAATAATAACAATAATGTAGCTGACCAAAAATGTGGAAGGTGACAAGAGACAGTAGTGCACATCTCAATAACGACTGTACAAGTTGCACAGATAGACACCAAATTACATAACTTGATTCCTATTGCCAAGTTATCATAACTACGCAAGTACAGTTGTAGGTCTGTAATAGGCAGAGGCTTCTTCCCAAGGGGAATGGTGTGACTTCAAGCAGTCATGTAGACAAACTGTCCGTTTTGTGGGGAGCAGGAGGGCTAGCTTTCAGCTCAGTTTGGACAACTAACTTGAAGCATAGGGCTGAGGAGCCTAATTCTGCTATGCTCGGTGAAATTCGATAGGTGTTTGCTGAAGATGGTTCATCATACCTAAGATCTAAAGGTGTCTTGTCATTGTATAGCAGTCTGGTGCACTGAAGCCCCATGCTTAGGGACTGCAGGGAAGCATCCAACGCAAGGCAGAAAATAGCCCTTCTTTTTCCTGTAGGCATTGATTAACCGTGGATAGTCCTTCTGTCTGCTTGTGTGCCCTGGCTTTTCACAACCTTCACGGGGATATTGTCAAGTTGAACTGGGAAGCTTAATTCATTAAAGCACTTCCCATCATACAGAAGTGAGAGTAAGGGTGATGATTGTTGACTGGCTGGGATTTCTTGCTGAGGAAAAACTCCTTAATGACCATGACAAAATATATGTATGTCATTGTGTGTATGTTTGTATTTACATCTATGTTTATATGTAAGCATCAGTTTAACAGCAGTTACTATAATCAGCAAGAGTAAAAATCAGCAGCAGCAGAAAGAACTTTGGTAAAGTGTCAAAGATGGCCAGAGTCTTTTGTTTTCTTCCCTTGTATTTACTTGTCTGATGAAAAATTACTTAGTAGATTAAATATTTGTCAGGAGACCAAATGCTATGTAGTGATGACTTAATCTGTCTGTTCCCTGTATGAGTGTCAATTGTGATGTAATCAGTCTTTTGTGTGGGGGGGGTTATTTATATATCTTTGTGTTAACTTTCCAGCATTCTCCATTTCCAGTGAGAATAGCCAGGTCGTAATGATTGCCATTTCAGCGGCGGGAGCCCTTATTCTCCTCACAGTTGTGGTGTACATCCTGATTGGGAGGTTAGTTTATCGTCTGGTTTGCACATTTACTCCCACTTCCATTTCCCTGAGGGGCCTTGATGAGCATGGCAAATTGGTGTCATGGGGCAGTAGCATAGCTGGTTTGCACCTTCTCCTTCGCCTACTGCCCAGAAGCTCCGAATACTGCTTCATGCTTGGTAATGAGCCCGCTAACATTAGCAGCCCCAATCATGCAGCAGTTGTTAAAAAATGCTATAAACACATTCTTAGGCAATTGTAAAATTAAACTGTAGGGGTCAAAAATCAACAAATCCTCTCATTAGCCAATTTCCTCAAATTCCCTGAGAACATAACATGCCTCTATAGGGCACAGAGAATGTAAATATCATTAAACTTTCAAACAGGCATTTAATTGTAGAGGGAAAACATTTTATTCTGTTTCCACCTGCAGTTAACATAGAGAATTTTCTATATTAATGTTTTTTCTTTGTTGCTTGTAGATTCTGTGGATACAAGAAGTCTAAACATGGCACTGATGAGAAAAGACTACATTTTGGGAATGGCCATTGTAAGTTACCGAAGCCTTTTAATGCTTCCAGATCTGTTGAATTCATCCCCTAGATAACTGGTATTTTTCAATTTAAAAAAAAAAAAAAGTCATACCTCACTTAAACCAAGGTGAAATTGGGAAGAGAATTATCTCTTCTCTTGTGGGTAAGGAGATTTTCCCCAAACAATTATTCTTTGTTTCAAATTCTTTCATCTGTGTTCGGGTTAGTAATGAGCAAAACATCGCTGTCTATGTTCAAACAACACGTGTGGTTAGCAATATGCTATTGATTCTCCTGTGCATTACTGAAATGCAGAGTGTAGCTTCAACTTCCTCATTATCAGCTGTATAAAGTTTAAGAAATGACATTTTTTTTTCCCAAAGCAAAATATAAAATCAATGAAACCTGTCTTGATGACTACTGAAGGGACTGTGAAAATTGCTTGCTTGACAAAGTTAACCCACTAATAATTTAGTTTGGAATTATTCTAAGCATAGGATGAAAAGAGATTTGGAGCAGTTTCTTAAATTAAGAATAACTACTAAACAAGTGTCTCACAAATTAATTTTTTTTTTAATCCAGCTCTGTTTACAAACATGTGTTGTTCAAGTTCTGATTCCCCACTTGCAAGAATGAATATGTCTATGCTTTCTTTGGGTCTCATCCAGGACTAAGACTCTCTATTGACTTACATTATCTTTGTAACACAAAAATAGTATATTGTTAAGGATGTGAGATTTTGCTCACCCTGAGGAATCTGGGCTACTTTTGAAACGTGTTCAAAAGCCAAACCCAAAGCGTATCTATTTCTGATGTTTGCATAACTATTTTTAATATAGCTAAATGGGACTTTGTTCATGGCTACTCTGGGTCATTTGACTGTGCCCTGTGAAAGGAACAGCATGGAGCAAGATCCCATCCAGGAAATGCTCAGGGGAAGAAGTGTTGATTTTCTGAGCCCAGGCATGTGTCCTGGCTATCGCGAGGAAGTAGCTTGCTATGGCCGATGGCTGGAGGGGGCTGTCCTCCTGCAGTATTTCTGCTCCTCTCTGATCCTGGATCCTCTCTGCAATGTGCATAACCCTGCAGCACTTTTCCACAGCAGAGGAGCTGTGGATCGTGAAGAGTAGATCACAGTCAAAGCTCCATCCATGCTCTCTTTAAAATAGAAATAAATTAGTTTTGGAGACGGAGAAGCTGAGTGGAGAAGAAAGTGATAGTTTAACATTCCTGATCAAGGGGGGTGATTCTTGTTTTTTTTTATCACTGCACTTTGGATTCCTTTCATCCTTACAGGGCTTCATAAAGATCAAGACTGGAAATTCCTTTTTTTCACCCACAGAAGTCTTGGTGTCTAATGAGCATGTTTTTAATAAGAAGCAGTAGATTCTTTGAAACTGTTTCATCTCCAGATAAATATCCTGCTACACCATGTAAACCATGTTGAATCATATATTTCAATTGCTTAGCATGTTGTAAGGTTAATGTATGTGGGTTTTTTGCACACAACAGTGGTGCTGTACCATCTGCAAGAAAAGAGCTGTTGGTACCAAAATCAGATGCCTCCCCACCAAATGTAATTGAATTAACATTTTAATGAGGGATTTACCTGCAGTAGTTGGAAATTAGAACTCCTTCCTAATCCCCATGACAAGGGAGTAACTGTTCTCTGACTGTTCATATTATTATTATTTTAAGTTTGGAGCCCCTCCTTATCTCCAGAGAGCCGTGAGCATGCATATCCACAACACGTGTGCTCCTACCCCTGTGCTGTCAGGGGATACACAAGCTGTAACAGTGGGTTTGCTTCGTGCAGCCCAACAACTGCTTACCAACTAGTCTCAAAAAAATCTATACGGTTACATGTGGCCTATAGAATTAATGCTTCATCATCCAAATTTAATGAGGTTATAAAATAAAAGCAGCCAGTAAAAAAAGTGTCACAGACAAATAACAGGTCAGAATTTGCTCTCCTTACTCCCACACAATGGAAAGTTGCAATCACTATTCTTAAACATGTCAGTGCTGTTAAATTCCTGTGGATTAAATTGCTTTTAATTTGGCTTTAGATATTTATGTACTGTTTTCTGAGTAGTGCCATGCTGATTCACTGTGTAGTAAGAACAGAGCCAATCATGAACCTGGTATTTCTGTTAGAAATTCCTGAAAATGGTTTATTGATTTTGCAGATATTTACCTGTTAGGATTTGTGTGTATGTTTGCGTGTGGCTGTTGAAACTTTATTCTACTAAATTACAGTCTTTCTCAAAGAATAAGAAAATTGTTCCTATGAACTAAAAAAGGATAAAGTGACTTCCATGGCTGTCGTAAACTTTCAGCATCTTAAATACAGCAGCTGGTTTATTTCAGTCAGTTTATTCTGAATTACTTTAAAAACGGCTCCAGCCATGAACTATTCCCTGCAGCCTTATTACAAACCCTATAATATTACTTCAAAGGAGCAAAAATGTTTCACCTCATCGGATCCTCTCCCTTTGCCTTCTTTGGCTAGGCCCTTTTTATTTTTTTGCTACTTTTAGGGCAATTCATGCTGTTAAAATGAAAATGTAAATTATTATGTTTGCACAGAATGAGCTGTAAAGTAGTACAGCTTAACACATGTGCATGTGTTTATTGTCTGTTTTTCATGACAGAACCCAGTTACTATACAGGCTGCCCTTAATTATTGGTGTGAAGGGATTATTCTCCTTGCAGTCACCATCACCTGATCTTGGGAACCTCTGGGGTCAGCATTAAAAATCTGCAGCCAAAAACCCCACAGTGCAGAAGCCTTTAATTGTTGTTATTTTTATTGGGGGTATGAGGGAGCCTGTAATGTACATTCAGCATGGACGGAAAGGAGCATTTACAAGATTTTTAACCAACAGCAATATACAGGCAATTACTTTTTGTTTTACTTGCAAGTAATTCTGTAATCATCAGGCTCTTGAAGGAAACACAGTCGGCATTTAATGCTGCACACACGCAGCCCTTGTGTTAAGGGCATGGCTCTTAGTTTGCATTGTTTTCAAGGCAATTAGCTTGGGAACACAGTTTTATCATTTCTTTGTCAATTCTGAGGCCAATAAATCTCCATAATTTTTTATTTTTTTTTTTTTTTACGTACACTTGGGAGTGTTTGACCAAACAAAGGTGTGCTCTAACTAATGGTCCAAAGGTATTTTTTCCCATCTGTGTAACCCTAGCAAAAAACGTTTTAACTATTCTAGCAGTCAACAAATTGATGCAGTATAATAATGCCAAGCTGGAAAGGATATTCCTGAGTGGGTTAAGGCAGTGTTTGTAAGAGGAGTTAATATTTTTTACAAGACCAACTGGTACAGTTAGGAAAAGCTAGAATACATGTCCAGGAATGCAGGTTTTGTGTCAGAAGCAGAAAAGTTCAAGCTGGATGTAACAGTTATTTCACTTTTTGTTAACAAAACATCTTTGTATTCTACAATGAATACAGAGGCATGCATACAAGTTACCGGGTACAAGCACAAGCAGGGCTTTGAGCCGAGGAGGGGGAATGAGGCTATGCTTTGCTTTCAGCATCTTTGCTGGAGAGAAAGGTTGGGAATGACAATATGTTCCTCCCACCCCCAGTCCTGCTGGAGGAAGAGATGTGGAGAGCTTGAAACTGCCCTTAAAATCATTCAGTTGTTTGAACTAGTGCTTGCCCCGGGCAAACAGAACAATCCCTGGCCGGGAAACTGTAGAGGGAGGCCAAAATAATAACATGGATGTTAGGGTAACAGCGCTAGAATCAGACTTTAATAATAAGAACAACTGGCTGCCATCCTTGTATGTACTAGCAGAGGGTCTGAGGCAGAGGTGCATTTGTTCATGTATAATTTTCTTGTCTTATTCATCTTGTTGGAGGACTCAGAAAGAAAAAGTTTGTTAATGCGTTCTCCTTAATATATTCCTAAGCACTTTTCAGGCTGACTGTAGCATCACCCATTTTGTTCCTTGCCTCTTTGTTGTTACCTTGAAAGGGACAATATAAGGCAGCATCCAAACATAGCAAGCTGGGAGGGGTAGATAGTATTTTAATATTTGAAAAGCAGTTTAATATGGAAAGTGCAGATATGTTTAAAATCGGTTTTCAGACTTCTGTACAATAACTATGTTAGTGTCTCTGGTTTCTCTCTATATTAAGATTCCTAAAGACCTGTCAAAAGCAGTTTGATTTGAAGAAGCAGTATACCTTTTCCTTCTATTGATTTGATGTCTATTGTCTCATGAGCTTTCTTTAGAAGGATTAATTAAGTCTAAGTAACATTTTTCTCTCTGAATTTGTTTTTACACAGTAAAACTCCCAGGCCTGAGAACTTACATAGATCCACATACATACGAGGATCCCAATCAAGCTGTGCATGAATTTGCCAAGGAACTGGATGCTTCTAATATATCCATTGATAAAGTAGTTGGAGCAGGTAATGACCATCAGATATATTGAACTAAAGATATCTTTTTGTTGTATATACTGTTTTACATCTTTGGGTTTATACTTGTGACTGGAAAGGAAACGTTCTAAAGTCTTCAAATTAGTAGGTCATATTTACATATGACTTCAGTAAATATGAAAAGTTAAGAGCACACAGTTCTGTTTTTTTTCCCCAAAGAAAACAGATAGCAAGACAGTTTTTCAAAGGACACCCATCAGCCCACACTTGGACGCAGCACTGTTGGAAGTGAAAAGAGAGTTCAGCCACACTTCTATGTTTCTCTTTAAAATCTGTCAGCACAGAAAATGGTATCAACTGTGAAGATGTTTTCTTTTTTTCCCTTAAAAGTACTGTTGACTATTATGCCCTGAGTGAAACCACAAACTCATTTCATACCAGTCACCACACATCCATCAGACTGCAATGACCTTTGGTCATTGAATTGATTTTGGTCACTGCTTTGGATTTGAATTATTGATTTAGGAGGAAAGGGTTGTCTGTCTGATAACTGATTGTCTGAGCCATACAGATGCCATAGATTGTTGGGTTTACAGAAAACAAACTGTCGAAATGAGCAGATTTTGTAGCAGAGGAGCCAAATTACAGAAAGCCTCATCACACTGAGTTGTCCATGTTGCAATGCAGCATGTAGTTCCTGATAGGATGTGTGCTTGCTCCTTGAAGTGAAGTAGCAGATTGTCTCGTCGAGTCAGAAGATTGTGAAGTGTTATCTTTCCTGCTAAATTAAAGCATTTGTGAGAAGTACTATTGATTTTTATTCCATTGAAAATTACTAGTTCTTTTATTATTGATTTTTTGCTTCTCTCTAAATTTACTATTTGAATTAAAATCATGAGATGTGGGAGAGACCCACTCCTAGTGCACAGCAAAAGATTTTCATTTGGAAAAAAATTTACAACCAAGCTACTGTACTCAGTGCATCTCCTGAAACACTCAGTAAAAAGAAGTATTCGTCCTCTCTTACTGCAGCTACTCAACTGCTTGTATGAAGTTAGGTTATTTTCTGCAAAGGTAGAATTTTTGTTCCTTGATGGTTTTAATTTTGCCCCACAAGAGTGCACTGTTCTCCATCATCTTCAGGCAAGGCAGCAAAACTCTGCTTACTGCACATAATAGAGAATTAATATGGGGATAGAGAAGGGGAGTACTGAAAAGCTAAGTCCAAAACCAGTATGTTTCCTTATAAGACTTTCAGGAGCCTTTGTTCACAAATGTAAGTTTTCTAAACTTGGGCTGTATGCAGTATATGAATCTAGAAAACAAATTCATAAGAATCAATGATATGTCATATTTTATAGCTCATTGTTCTGACCTATTTTTAATCAGAATGCACATGCGAATGAGAGGTAAACCAAAATTTGCCAAATATGGCCTCTGAAAATGGAGGAAGAGTTTTCTGATAGGCTTCAAAAAAGGAATATGTCCTAAGAGAGTCAAGTGGTTTAAAAATAAGTCCCTTTGCTCCACTCCAGTGAAAGTGACAGTAGGTTCCTGCAGGTGCTCTACATCGAAGCTTGGAATCAAGGTATAATAAAGCCATTTGTTGGAGACCGTGACTTAGATTCATGTAGCCTAAACTACGGATGGCATTACAGTTAGCATTTCCGATTAGCAGTTGCCAGAGATGCCAACAGGAAGAGCCAGGCAGGGAAGAACAGATGAAAATCAGACTATAGAGCACTGGGAGCTTCCAAAATGCATTTGTACCATCACTTTACACTGCTGTCACGTTCAGCACGTGGTAGCTTTTGCATTCAGAGTGAGTGCCTCCATGGCTGCTTCTGCAGGAACACTTTTTTCCTCCCCAAAAGCAGAAAGGCATTTCCTGTCTCTTACTTGAGTCAATGACTTATTTGACTAAATGACTTGGTCTTTTCCTGCCCTTCTCCTTTACAAATGCAAGTGTGAATGAAATTATAAAAAGACAGTGATTTGAGAAGAAGGGATTCGTTTAACTGCGTTGAAGTGTGACGTCAATATGAGACCTTCAAGTCAGGCAAGTAATCTTGATATTCTGAGGTACTTTTCCAAGTAGTTTTTCACAGCTTTAGCCAGAAGTCTCTGAGAATAGAGGACAGCTTACATAGCTTTGAAAACATACCCAAATGCAGTAAGGAAATAGTTTTGTCCAAAAGAACCTCAAGAAAAACACAAGGGATTTTAGTGGGAGGCTAAGCATAAGAAAATCGAGGTCAGGAGCCACTTTTTCAGATTTTTCTTTACAGTAATTCTTTTAAAACAACTCACTTGTTTTTATGGATCCAGTTCAGCAAACCACTTACAAAGTTTAAATCCAGTTGGATAGCAAGAGAATACTACAGAAAGTACTTTCTTGATTTGGGATAGATATAAGTATGTGCTTTGCTGAATATGAAAGCAAACATTTGCTTTTCTTTCAAAGTTTAAACATAATGTGTAGCTTAACATCTTGCTGATTAAAGTGTTTCTAAAATTTAGGGGCTACCTGTCCATGAATTTATTGTGAAGGGTTGCAGTGTCTCAGTGAGGGCTTGTAGAACGTTGCTGACGTTCACGAGGTTTATGAAACATTCAGCTTAGGTGCCTCTCCAACTCCGAGGGAGTCCTGTGCGCAGCAGGACAATCATGATTTAAAACACAGCAAAGTAAAGGGAGTAGCTAATTTCACAGAGTCATCTTTTACTTGTCCCCTGGGTCTAAATGCACAGCAAATGCCATTCACTGATGCACTAAGTAGCCTATTTAAAAAGAAATTAAGATCTCCTGAAGAGAGATCTTCATATCATGAACAGCCCTCCTAATAATAGCTATTTGCTTTCCACATGTAAATAGACATATCAGTCTGCAGGGCAGGTTATGCAATGTTTATGTGTGTAGCATAATTAAAAATAAATACTTCAGAAAGCCTTTACGTGAAAAGCCATCAACCTCATCTCTTAAAATCGGTGCCAGATTTTTCACCTTCCAACTCAAACACAAGTCCTTATTCCTCCTAAACAATATCTGATGAAATCCAGTCCATTTCTTACTGGGACCATATAATAATGATTTGCAGGAAAAAGATGTAGTGTAACTGCATGTCACTATGGATGTTGACCAGATAGACTTATGTTGCATCCATACTGCCCTGTATATGAAAGAACCAAAGGTTAATGTAGTTGGTCTGCCCAGTGAGCTTTTTCCAGCGAAACTGTTTTCCAAGAAAGTAAACCCATTTTATATTCCCGGACAACAGTAAGCTCCATTGCTATGAAGGGTCCAACTTTTAGTCTCCTGCAGCAACCACTGGCCTCAAGGCACTTGTGGAATCCGATTAATCACCCAAGTTCTAAATTGTGCAGCCATGGCTAAATGGGACTGTGCTGATGGACATTAGCTGTAACCTTTCCCTTCCCAAAAGTCAAACAAATATCAGATATACGATTCCAGTCAGAAATGAAGGATTGATTGCTGAACTGCTTGCTGAAATCATAGCTATAGTCTCCATTGACAGTAACTGAACAATAGTTTTAAGAGGTTAGCTTGTTATAGCTTTTTGGACAGTTAAAACATAGAGAAAAGGGAGTACGAAGCTGGACATTACAAGATTTATTTCAAGCACTTTTTTCCCTTCCTTCTGTTGTCAAGATGTGCTTTGGTCTTCCTCTTTGTGGTGCTCTGACAGTATTGAGCTGCGGTTAGTAGTTGAACTGAAGCAGTGTTTGCTCTTGGTAAAGTATTTTGGCTTATAGATGTTGACTATTTTTAATTAAGAAGTCTGAACAGAACTGAACACCCATTAGTTACTAGTAATAGGTTTACAATTCATTTTCTGAGCTGCTGCCTGTCTTGGCAGCCTGAAATACAAATAATGTTGGAAACAATGGATGTAATGGAAATGCTATTTTAGTAGTATATATGTATATAAGATACACCCTGGTTTAAATTTTTTTTTTTGTTATTACATTAATAGCACAGTACCATGCCTAGAGGATGAAGCAGCTAAGCAGCTGGTGATAAGATATGGTGACATTCACTTCTATGTTGTTGACTCAAATCTAGCCTGGGTTAGCAACAGAGAAAGGTCATTGCCCTATGACACATTTGTTCGGTTTTTTTCGTTAAATTGGCCGTCTAACAGAGAAACCTTAGAAAATAAAGCTGAAAACTGACCTTAAGGGGTCATTAAGTCCACGTCCTTACCCCAAACAGAACTTGTTAGGTACTATTCTTGACAGATGCTTATTCTTTACAATCTCCAAGATAAAAGATTTTATAGCTTCCCTAAAAAATCTTTTGTACTGTCCAAGTGTCCTTACTGTTAGAATTTTTTTCCTGATCTAACTGACCTTTATTGTAATTTGCAACTATTTTTTGGTTTGCCTCTTGTGTATAGAAAAAGGAGTTGCTGTGCATCTTATCTATAACCATGATTTTGATAAGCCAAAACTATTGTCGTGTCTCTCTCTTCTCATTCCTTGTTGTGTATAAATAACACCAATTCCTTGAGCTTTGAACTTGAACACACAGCCCTGACTTTTAAGATTCTGGTTGTTGTTATTACTCCCTTTATAATTCCTGAATTCAGTGCCACAAATGGGACATGGACTCTAATGCCAAGCATGTTGGTGGCAAGTTGATGAAAGAATAATTTCATTTTGCAGAAAAATGGGCTGAATGTAACATCTAAAATGCATCCCATGTGGTATTATGTCTGAAGTCAATGGTGAAGGGCTGTCAATCCATCACACAGCTCTTGAACATTAGATCTATGAAGAGCAATACGATTTAAATTTGCCTATTAAAAATATCTTATTTCTGTGGTTTTGGTCATTTTTAGTTTTCACAGATGTTGCTTAATGTAAACAACCAGCTGCAGAGATAAAGAAAGTATCATTGTGGGCAAATGAGCTCCAAGAGCCTTTGCTCTTTAGAGGCATAGTAATGCTATTGCATTTAGGATTATTACACATTAAGTTGGGAAAAGCTCATATGTAAGCAGTATAATC